TTTCGGTTTCGGTTTCGTTTTGTTTGGTTAATGATCCTACATTTTCCATTATCGCCATCTTTTTTTTTTTTTTTTTAATTAGGGAGACAGTAAGGGAGCACATATCTTCTGACACTTTTCTAAAGATGCAAAGCAGTTAGGGTCTGCCTAGCCTAGCCTGTTTTCCTTAGGAATGCACTAATTACATTTACTCAAGCCATGTGCTCCTGTTCCAGTTGAAAACATCTACACTGTAAAACTGCTGCTCCAGAGAAGAGCAGATGGAGAAATGGCTGATAAAAGAAGGGTTCTTTAGGGGACATCCTTGTCTGGGTGCCAACCAACAAAAGGCCTTCTTTTCCTGTCACTGCAGAGAAATATGGTGATGACAGAATTTGAGATCAATCAAGGTAGCAACTTATCTAAATAATTGCACAAGCATCTTTGTGTAGAACGTATACAACTTCCTGATGCCAAGAGCTGTGTGAGGAATTTTAAGTGGTTCCTCACTTAAGTGGATTCCCATCTCTGGAGGTCTAAGCAGAACAATCTACAAAGACAAATTCCTATTAAACTCTGAAGCCTTCTCTGGTTCTCACCTTGTAGTGGCCTCCGATAGTTTGTTCCTATCTTTTTTGCCTCTTCCTCATCTCTCTCTACCCAGTCACCAATGAAAAGAAGAGCCAAAATGTGCAGTCATCATAAACTTTCTGAGAGAGGTGACTGGGTTTTCTCTGCTTTGTTAGAGGTAGGAGAGAATGAAGCTTTCTAACCTGGAGACATGGAGCAATAGGTGGGTAATTCCTGCCTGGACCTGACTGGAATAATAGCCCTTGTGGCTCAGCTGGTAAAGAATCCGCCTGCAATGCGGGAGACCTGGATTCAATCCTGGGTTGGGAAGATCTCCTGGAGAAGGGAAAGGCTACTCATTCCAGTATTCTGGCCTGGAGAATTCTGTGGACTATGTAGACCATGGGCTTGCAAAGAGTCGGACATGGCTGAGCAACTTTCACTTTCACTCACTATAAGAAAAGTTAATGTATGTATTTCTTATAAAATCCTATAAGGAAAGTACTGTTACTAACCCCCCTTTTTCTTAATAAACCTCTATTTATAAATAAGGGAATCTCAGGTACAAAGAGGTGAAATAAATTGTCTGAGCTAATAAGGAGCAGAGCTAAGATTCAAGTCCAGGTAGTCTGATTCCAAAACCCAGATCTTAAATGCTGCCATATACTGCCTCTTAAAGCCTGTCATAAAATACCTTGCTTACTAACATAGCAGCTCATTCTCTACTAGAGACAACACCTATCTGCCAGTACCCTGATCTTGGACTTAGCCTCCAGAACTGTGAGAAACAAATGTTTGTGGTTTAAGCAACCCAGTCTATGGTGTTTTGTTATAGCAGCACAAATGGACTAAGATATCCATCATCAGATGTCTCAGAAACCATAGAGATGGAATGTTTGTGGGGGTAGAGGAAAATAATCAAATGATAGCGCAAAGACTGGTTCTATAAATTCACGAGATTTATGCTTTGGTGCACCTCTCTCCTCCAAACACATAGCAGTGATAGATTAAAAAAGGAGCTTCAAAAAAAAAAAAAGGAGCTTCATTCAAAAACTGTACATACATCCCAGTAGACCCAAAGAGCAGAAACACAAAGAGGGTATAAGAGGTGCCAATGCCGTAGACCCACTGGAGCCCAGTCTGTGAAGGAGGTAGCAGCGGCCAAGACTTTGGCCCCTGAAAAGACACCAGGACTAAAATTGCTTATGCAAGGCAAGAAATCCAAACCAAGGCCTAAAGACACCCATGCCTGTGAAAGAAGATGACAAAGCTAGTGCCAAATCACAGGCTGGGGGCAAGGATTTCTAGGAAACAAAGAGCTTAGAAAGGAGGGAGGACATGACCAGCCCAATAATTAAGCCACCGGTTTTTAGACAGATGATATTCTAAAAGCCACTGAGGAACAGGAGCGTCGAAATTCCATTATATGGCATGATTTGGGGCTGGAAGTTCCAGAGTGCCAACTAGAAAAAAAAAAGTGAAATTACTGCACTACACAGGGAGGTAAAAATAAGCTTATACTGGACAAAGAAGTAAACTGCAACAAAAAACAAAACTAAATACGCTTATTTAAAATTAGCCTGTAAATCAAAATGCCAAATCTACTGCTAAGACTTCCCTGGTGACTCAGATGGTGAAGTGTCTGCCTGCAATGCTGGAGATTCGAGTTCGGTCCTCGGGTCGGGAAGATCCCCTGAAGAAAGAAATGGCAACCCACTCCAGTACTCTTGACTGGAAAATTCCATGAATGGAAGAGCCTGATAGGCTATAGTTCATGGGGTCACAAAGAGTCGGACACAACTGAGTGACTTCACCCTCTTTCATTGCTAAGACAGCCAACAAAATCAATAATTGAAACATAAATTTCAGATGAAATTTTTAAAAGATGAAATTTTGCAGAAACTTAAGATTTTAAATGGGAAAAGACCCTGATGCTGGGAGGGATTGGGGGCAGGAGGAGAAGGGGGCGACAGAGGATGAGATGGCTGGATGGCATCACCGACTCGATGGGCATGAGTTTGAGTAAACTCCAGGAGTTGGTGATGGACAGGGAGGCCTGGCGTGCTGCGATTCATGGGGTCACAAAGAGTCGGACATGACTGAACGACTGAACTGAACTGACTGAAGATTTTAAATAAACGTTTAGAATGCTCTGAGATGAACAAAATGATTTTCATTTTTTAAAATAACATGGAATGACATTAAAACAAGCTGAAGAAATCTATGAAAAATAAGCAATTAGAAAATGTGGAGAAAAAAATATATATGTACAGTCTTAGTCTATTTGAGCTGCTGTAACAAATTACCATAAGCTGGGTGGTATATAAACAACAGAAATTTATTGTTCATATTTCTGGAGGTTTGAAAGTGCAAAGTCAAAGCATTTGGTGAGAGCCTGCTTCCTGGTTCATAAAATCCATCTTCTTACTTATCCTCACAGGGCAGAAGAGGCAAGGCTTCTTTTTGGGGGTCTCTCTTACAAGGGCACTCATCCCATTCATGAGGGTTCTACTCTCATAACTTAATCACCTCCCAAAGGCTCTACCTCCAAATATCATCACTTTGGGAATTAAGTTTCAACATAGGAATTTTAGGAAACACAGATATTCAGTCTATAGCATATATATTTATGGCAACTCACTCTAGTATTCTTGCCTGGAAAATTCCATGGACAGAGGAGCCTGGCAGGCTTCAGTCCATGGGGTCACAAAGAGTCAAACTCAACTGAGCGTATCACATACAGCTCAAAATATAGGAGGTTATTTTATGACCTCAGGACAAGGAATGATTTCTCTTTTTTAAAATTTATTTTATTGAAGTGTAGTTGATTTACAGTGTTGTGTTAATTTCTGCCATATAGCAAATTCATTCAGTTTACATAGGCATACATTTTTTTTCATGTTCTTTTCCATTATGGCTTATCACAGCATAGTGAATATAGTTCCCTGTGCTATACACAGGACCTTTTTGTTTATTCATCCTATATATACTCGTTTGGATTCTGCTAATTCCAAACTCCCAATCCTTCCCTTTCCTTCTTCCCCTTCAGCAACTACAAATCTGCTCTCTATGTCCATGGGTTTGTTTCTGTTCCATAGATAAGTTCATTGTGTCGTACTTTATATTCCACACACAAATGATATCATACAGTGCTTGTCTTTCTCTTCCTAACCTTCTTCCCTATGATAATCTCTGGATCCATCCACGTTGCTGCAAATGGCATTATTTCATTCTTTTATGGCTGAGTAGCATTCCTTCATGCACATGTACCACATATTCTTTATCCATTCATCTGATAATAGACGTTTAGGTTGTTTCTCTATCTTGGCTTTTGTGAACAATGCAGGCAAGGATTTTTCTAAATAAGACATACGCACAAAGAAGAAAGACTGATAAATTCTACAACCTAAAAAATTTTAATGATTATCTCTCAAGTTACTACTTTTAAAAAACTAAAGCCCCAGACTTGGAGACCATGATTTACCACACATATAATCTTCTTAGAATGGACAAGTGTTTTCAGCTTAAGGGATATAATTATGATTTAGAAAATAGGAAAAATCCCATTTTAATATCCACTCCTATAATATGCATAAATAATAATATCTGTAAACAATATCTGCATGCCTTAAACTTTCTATAAATGGTATTATGTTTATTATTCTACAGCTTGCTTTTCTCTATCATCATTTTTTTGGATCCCTTTAAATTCACACCAGTTATTTACCTGTTGTATAATATTGCATTATATAACTGTATCACAGATTTCCTTTTCTACCCTTTCTTCTATTGATGGGCATTTAAGTTTTCCTAAATCTTCTGCTACTATGAATTACATGGTACATTAAAGTACCGTGACAGCTCTGTTTAGGAGTATGCTACAGAATATATTTTTATACTCCTATTGTTTATTTCTAATTTAATTATATTGAGATCAGAGGTCATTTGTTATTGACTCTGAAATTTGGTGAAGCGTTCTTTGTTTCTCGTCTATGATTAATTGTTTAAATGGCCCAGGGGAACTTGATTTAAATGTATATTCCTTGTGTATTGGGTAAAAGACTTTATCAGTTAGGACAGAGGGTCTGGAAGTTACAACCTTAGAGCTGAATCTAGTCCACAGCCAGTTTTGTTTTGTTTTGTTTTTGTCTTTTTTTATAGTTGAATCTGAACATAGTCATCTTCTCCCATGGAGTTACTATCTATGGTTGCTTTTATGCTAGAAAGGTGGGGGTACCATACGTGGTCATAAAATATTTACTACTATCTGATTCTTTTTTTTTTTTGGAGAAAATTATAAAACTTTATTGAAAGATATTTTAAAAGCCTAAATAAATGGAGAATTATACCATGTTCATGAATTGGAAGACTCAATATTATACTTAATCTATAAATTCAATACAAATACAATAAAAATTTCAACTTTTCATCTGTTTGATTTGGAACTTGTCAATCTAATTCTAGAAGTTGTATAGAAAAGTCATTGGCTAAGAATAGCCAAGATACTCCAAGGAAGGAAAGTTTGTTGATGTTGAAGGTGGAGGTGAAATTGTCCTGAGATATCAAGACCTTTTTCTAAAGTGGTAGTACTCAGGATTGTATGGTACTGCCACAAGGTTAGACAACTTGACCAGTGAGTCAGAACAGAAACCATCAACAGACTCCCCCACCCCTCCACACAAAGAAAGTTGATTTATGAAAACAGTCAGTATTATAGATCATTGGGGAAAGGATGAACTTTTCAGAAAATGGTGTTGGAACAACCACTTACCGTATGGAAAAAAACATACTGAATTACTATCTCATGTTTTTGTAAAAATCAGTTCAGAGAGGACTAAAGACAATGTGAAAAGCAAACTATAAAACTTTTTAAAGGCAGTAAAGAGTAGCTTTATGACTTTTGAGTAGGAAATGATCACTCCCCTACCACGAGTCTAACTTGTATCCAGCTTTATAAGAGACTTTTCAAAAATAGTTATTTACAGGAGGACATGGGTGACATTCCATAACATCTTACAACTTTCAAACTCCCCTCTCCAAAAAGTCAACAAAGTCTGTTGTTACAATAAACAGGAAAAATTTTCCAAAAGTGTGATTATTTCACATGAGGCATTTAAGAGATTTTCACAGGTCGACTCTGACATGGAGGAAAGGAACTAAAAACTCCAGGATTATAAATGAGATGATTCACAAACTACAAACAGGAATCCTGATTCTTGTGAGCAAAACCATCTTAATGTCATCACCAGAAAGCCTGAGTATTGTTACCTGATGCAGCTGATTCTAGGGGTGTCAAGGCCGTATCATGACTCCTGGTTTCAGGAAGTCAAGAATGTGCTGATGACATCAAGAAAGGAGAAGACATGAAGTAATTTTTCTCCATCACAGTAAGGCTTCTGAGCCATAGTGGCTGACATGTGTGAATGTCAGAGAATCTCTCCCGGGAACCAAGAATAATCTTCAAATACTTCTATTTCCCTCCATTTCAATCCAGCTTCTGAAACATTCTACTAGTGGTTATTTGCCCTTTCCACAAAAGACAACAACGAAGTATCTCATGTGCTAACAACATAACTTAAAAAAAAAAAATCAACATTTTTATAAAAGTTGATTTAAAAATAGTATTTCAAACAGTAGAGTCACTAGAAGTACAGAGCTATCAAAAAGGTACACTTCATTTGGCATCCCCAGTGCCTTCTGCTTTCTGTGACTGGACTGCAGAGGCATCTCGGTTTTTCGCAGGGTTGTTCCCATCCTTGCCGACTTCTGCTTTCCCCTTTCTCCCTTTGGCCAGCTTCTCTCCCTTCTTTGCAGGGGCCTTTTTTGGCCTGGGCTCAGGTTTTGGAAGGGCAGGTTTAGCAGACAACCGTGCTGATCTCCTCTGTGGCTCATCCTTCACCTTCCCTTTGTCACCTTTAGCATCTCCTTTTGCCTTTCTCTTGGGCATGGTGGCAGCAGCGCTTGGCAGCCCAAGGGGTTCTTCTGTCTTTCTCACTGTTCCTAGAAAGATTTCCGAGTCTCGCGGCCGTCCGAGGGGCGCGGGACTCCCAGCTGCCGGCCTGCGGCGCCGGTGCCCGGGGCTGAGGCGGGGCCGTCGCAGACCGCCGGCTGGCGAAGAGACCACTATCTGATTCTTGATAGAAAAAGTTTGCCACTCTTGCATTAGGTAAAGCTTTTAATGGTAGTGTTCAAAATGTTCAACTCCTGTTAATTTTATCTGTCTAACCTGCTAGTTCCTGACCGTGGTGTGTTAAAATCTCCTACTATAATTGTAGACTTGTCAGTCTCTTTGTGCAATGCTCACGTCCTATGGTTTGGGCCCAGAGAAAGCCCTGGGGATCCAGGACCTCGCTCTCCACTCTTCTGCCCTCCAGCACGCTCTTGCACTTCAAATTATTTTTGGACAAAAGTCAGGTATCAGCCCCCATGGGCCCGATCTCTATGAGAGAAATGTTTTCAGAATGTGGCTCTTTTATTTGACTTGAGGAAGATATTCAGTAAATGATAGCTGTCAGAGAAAGGCAAAATAGAACATTTCTATTTCCTGAGGGCAAGCTATCAATTTCATGGTGCAAACCCAGCCTCTCTCTGGCCCCAAACAAAAACTTNGCTCTTTTATTTGACTTGAGGAAGATATTCAGTAAATGATAGCTGTCAGAGAAAGGCAAAATAGAACATTTCTATTTCCTGAGGGCAAGCTATCAATTTCATGGTGCAAACCCAGCCTCTCTCTGGCCCCAAACAAAAACTTCTCTGTCCTCTAAAAATACGTCTAGCAAAGCTAGCTGTCAGAGCGATTATGGGGAGAGGCCCAAAGCCAAGAAACATCAACAGTTGCGTCCCACAAGGTGCAGAGCAAGCACGTTTGAAGAGGACTGCCGGGATTTATTGGAGGGAAGATAATTTGCCAGCCAGAGAGACTGACTGCATTCGGTACACTGCTTGACTCTCAGCAGCTGCCAGAGACAAGCCAGAGATCAGGGGACGTGACAAGTCCCATGACAGATGTTGCCAAGTTACCGAGGACATCAGCTGTGACCTAGATGACATGGGAATAATGGGACCCCTTGCCCAGCACTGTTCATGTAGGAAAGTGTAGTTTGTATCTGCAAGAAGCAGGTTAAAAATGGAATTTCTAGAATTCCAAATCAGGTCGACATGTGTGTATAATCCATTCACTATATGCTAGGCAATGAGCAAGGCTCTTACATACTTTAAACTTTACAAAAGCTCCCATTTGCAGATGCATAAACTGAGGCCACGGAGCTGATAACTGACTACCATGCTGTCAGCCGGTTTTATCCAGCTGTGAATCCCATGCTTTCTTCGCTTCAGAAATAAGAACACTCAGACACAGTTGAGGGTCACACCGGGACACGGACCCGTGAAGCAAAACAGCGTGGGGTAGATGCCTCGGGAAGGGGGTGGTGGTGATGCTGGCGGTGCAGAGACCACAGGGATGAGAGCAAACACCCACCACACAGTTATTCATTGTCACGCGGCGTTGGCTGCTCCACAGCTAACCCTCCCAAGAGCCTCCAGCGTGCGTCAGCGTTCTGATTCCACAGATGAGGAAACCAAGCCACCTGACTTGCTTGACTGACCAGGTCACAAAACTCTTTTGGTGAGAACCAGGATTTGCACTCATCTCATCCTAATTCTAATTCCTTCCCACTATGAACTTTTTCGAGGCTTCCCCTGTGGCTCAGCTGGTAAAGAATCTGCCTGCAGTGGGGGAGAACTGGGTTTGATCCCTGGGTTGGGAAGATCCCCTGGAGAAGGGAAAGGCTACCCACTCCAGTATTCTGGCCTGGAGAATTTCATGGACTGTATAGTCCATGGGGTTGCAAAGAGTCAGACACGACTGAGCAGTTTTCACTTTCATGACCTTTTTCAAGTGTTCATGTCAGACTTAGGAAGGCAGGAAGGAATCTCCATAAATCTCTAGCAAGAATGTGCCGCTTGGGCTTCCCTGGTGGCTCAGTGGTAAAGAATCTGCCTGCCAGCGCAGGAGACATGGGTTTGATCCCTGATGCAGGAAGATCCCACAGGCCCCAGAGCAGCTAAGCTCATGTGCCGTAACTCTCAAGTCTGTGCTCTAGAGCCCAGGAGCCACAGCTCCTGAGGCCTGTGCACCCCAGAGCCCATGTTCTGAAGCAAGAGAAGCCCCCGCAATGAGAAGCCCATGCATCGCAGCCAGAGAAGAGCCCAAGCAGCAACGAAGACCCAGCACAGCCAAAAATAGGTAATAAATAAAATTATTGTTTTAAAGGGCCAATATTTAAGGAAAAAAAAGAATATATTACTCAAGAGGATCCATGGAAAGATCGGTGGAATTTCAACTGGCGGAGAGAGAGTGAGGGTCTGGAATGGCAGGGAGACCACAGGGGCAAAAGGAAGCTAGCTCAAGAAGTGACTGTGGAACATGAGTCGTGGGGTTCGGCGTGAGCTTGAGATAGAGAGTGGAGAGGAGGCGGGGAACGTGGGCTAATTCTGCCCAGGAGGGCCTGACCAGGAGGGATCCTGTCCACGGCAGCACAGCTCTCCCCGAGCAGAGCAGCTGCGGGGTTTGTGGAGAGACCTCCAGAAGCAACAAAGCCATAGTTAGTTACCAGAATTTGACTTTGCAATCTGTGTACAGGAAAAGAGGACAGGAAATCTGGAGCCAGGAGTCACCTGAAGGTTTAGGTAGGAAGAAGCAAAACTGTTAGTATCCATAGATGATGTGTGTGAGTACACAGGAGCCCCAGGAGAACCTAAAATCTAGTTATTTGATTTATAGAAACGTTGGCAGATAAAACAAATGTAACATATACACATAAAGAAACCTTATTTAGTCTTAAAAAGGAAGGAGATTCTGCCACGTGCTAAGCATGGATGAGAAACCTGAATGAGGGTCAAGAAGCAACAGTTAGAACTGGACATAGAACAACTGACTGGTTCAGAATTGGGAAAGGAGTATGACAAGGCTGTGTATTGTCATCCTGCTTATTTAACTTGTATGCAGAGTACCTCATGCAAAATGCCAGGCTGGATGAAGCACAAGCTGGAATCAAGTTTGCTGGGAGAAATATCATCAACCTCAGATAAGCAGATGATACCACTCTAATGGCAGAAAGTGAAGAGGAACTAAAGAGCCTCTTGATGAGGGTGAAGGAGAAGAGTGAAAGAGCCAGTTTAAAGCTAAATATTAAAAGAACTAAGATCATGGCATCTGGCCCCATTGCTTCATGGAAAATCAAAAGGGGAAAAGTGGAAACAGTGACAGATTTTATTTTCTTGTACTCCAAAATCACTGCAGATGGTGACTGCAGCTATGAAATTAAGAGACACTTGCTCCTTGGAAGGAAAGCTATGACAAACCTAGGCAGCATATTAAAAAGCAGAGATATCACTATGCTGACAAAGGTACATACAGTCAAAGCTATGGTTTTTCCAGTGATCATGTATGGAAGTGACAGCTGGACCATAAAGAAGGCTGAGCACCAAAGAATTGATGCTTTCGAATTGTGGTGCTAGAGAAGACTCTTGAGAGTCCCTTGGATCAAACCAGTCCATCCTAAAGGAAGTCAACCCAGAATATTCATTGAATTGATGCTAAAGCTAAAGCTCCAGTGCTTTGGCCACCTGATTCAAAGAGCTGACTCATTGGAAAAGTCTCTGATGTTGGAAAAGATTGAAGGCAAAAGAAGAAGGGGGCAACAGAGGATGAGACGGTTAGATAGCATCACTGACACAATGGATATGAATTTGAGCAAACTCCTGGAGATAGTGGAGGACAGGGGAGCCTGGTGTGTTGCAGTTCATGGGGTGGCAAAGAGTCAGACACGACTTAGTGACTGAACAACAACAATAATTACATACATATACCACATTTTTATCCATTTATCTGTACATAGACTCTTCCATGTCTTAGCTATTAAAAATAGTTCCGCCATGAACACTGGCGTACATGCATGTTTTCAAATTAGAGTTTTCACCTTTTCTGGATATATGCCAAGGAGTGGAATTGCTGGGTCATACGATACAAAGATAGTTGTTAACAGCGGCCAGCCAGTGCTCCCGGTTGTGTTGTTCCAATGATGGCCCACGAGCAGAATTCTGAAAGCTAGACTTCCATGTGAGGCTGGTGGATAAAGTGGCTCTTTTTCTAGAACTGGCCATGTCAATTCTGCCAACCCCCAGACCACCAATTTGCTACACTTTATATTCCTGAATGAAGCCAACTTTATAGGAACCATGATGCCATTTCTCAGTTCCTCGGCTTTCTGGGAGTCCTTTTTCCATTTACAGGATGGCTTTTGAGCTGCAGTTTTCCTTCATCAAGGATCAACTATGACCTTGTTCATCAAAAGGAGCTACAGTTGGTCAACTTTTCCATCAGTACCCAGCTCACCCCATTTCAAGAGACAAGCTCCTAGAAAAGCACATTGCCAATATCCTCTTTCCACTATTGATATAATGAGCTTTATTAGCTCCTTCCTGTTAATGACGTGGAGTCCTAAGCATTTTAATCAGAGGTCCTCATTTTGAATTCTCTCTACCATTCACTTCTAGCAAACACACGGCCGGCCCCGACCGTGAAAAAAAAAGAGAGAAAAGAAAGGAACTCCCTCCCAATGAAAAGAAAGCAAGAAAAAGTAATAAAAAACCAAGGGAAACGGAAAAGAAAAAAAAAAGCAAGGGAACCCAAAAAAGAAAACAACAAATAAAGTTTTGAAGTCAACCGAAAAGCCTCCCAAACCGCCGGGTCAAAAAAGAAACCAACGGATAATGAATCAATTTGCTTGAATCGAAGGCTGCACAGGCTGGACGTATCCCCAGAGGTTTATTGTGCTGAGCATCCCACAGCAATGGTTGTATTGAAATGTAAATTACACCTTGAAACATCATTTGTGTCCACAGTGTTTGGAAGCTGGTCATTCTAAATTATTATTTTTACCTTGTCTTGGCCTTGGGAAAACGTCAAAAGTGGCCAGAACTCATTCCCAGGTCAGACAAACACATACATCTAATATTAATTATACACAAAACAGACCCATAAATTTCAGTCCCTGAACCAGTCTGACAATTCTTTAATTAAGAAACTTCAACCAT